TTACATAACGAAAAAAGTAGCCAAAAGAAGCAAAACACTAGCTAAAAAAAGGCAAAAAATGAGCAAAACTACTTAAAATGATTGCCTAATGGAGCAAAATGGTAGCTAGAAGCTAAAATGAGCAAAACACACTTTTAGCTAAAAGACTAAAACGGTAGCTATAGCTGATAGCTAAAAGTAGCAAATGTTACTAAAAGCTAAAAATAAGCTAAATGGTAGCTAAAGGCTAAAAGTAGGAATGGGTTAACTAAACGTATTAAAAGGCAAGCTAAACGCAAAATATCCAAAAGATTGGAAAAGTAAAATAAGTAAAAGTTTTGCTAAAAGTGGAATTAACAAAAGGCGAACTAAAAGCTAGAAAAAGCAGAATGGTAACTTAAAGCTAAACGCGGCAAAAAGCTAGCTAGAAGTAACAGCACTTTTTCAAGGAATTACAGCAATCCTACTGAAAATATTTGTAAAAATGGCTAAAGATTTTGGTAAAATATTAAAGGTGCAAAAATGTAAAGTCATCCATGTCCTGAATGATCTGAAAGTTGTGATATATAAATGGCTAAAATAACACAAAGCATGCTAAAATAAGTAATTAATTAGCATAAAACTACACAAAAAAAGAACATTTGTTTGAATCCTTAATTAGCATTAGCATTCACACAGTCAGAATTTTGGGTTTTATTTTATTTACCTTTGATTTATATTTAATTCCTACTTTATTTTTACACCTTCAGCTGCTTTCCTGTCCAGCCTGGGCCACTATGAGATCGCCATCCCGGTACGTGTAGGACCAAATGGCGAGATGCTTAATGCAGAAAACACTCATCAACGTCAAAGAAGGCGTCGAAGCACTGAAGACAGACTGCCTGGCTCTGTATTACGGCTTTAAAGAGAATTATATTATCATTATTATATCTGTGTTTTGTGATAGACATCTTTATACAACTCTGCTCTTCTTTTTTAGCTCTTCTACCAGCTCTCCACATCTCAAAACAACTTCCTGCTGAACCTGACGCTGCAGGGAGCACTTTTGTCTCGGCAGTTCAGGGTAGAGTACTGGAAAAGGGGCAGATTAGCCTGGAGTCACCCTTACTCCCCCCACTGTCACTACACGGGACACCTCCAAGACCAGCCGCACTCCAGCAAAGTGGCTCTGAGCAACTGTAACGGCCTGGTAAGACTGAAACCTCACACTGAAGTCCACAGCTGGAGCTAAGTCTGCAGCGCTGATGCAGCAAGTTAGGGATCAGCAACTCCTGAATCCTACTTCAAAGCGTGACATTTGAATCCTCCTGTGAGTCTTAATCCTAAACTGTACTGACCACGGTGGTCTTTTTGGACTTGTCTCTAAAGCTTACCTCAAAGTTAAGTCATCTACAAGGAGGCATTTCATATTCTGAGCTTTTATTTGTACAAATAAAAGGCCACATATAGAGAATGTAAAATATTTAATGCTGCTACTAACAAAATACAAGTTTATTTGTTTTATATCTTATTGCGGGTTTCCATTCTTCTTAGACATTTAAAGGATTTTTGCATTGAAGATACCATGACATTGTCAATGTTTTGGAGTCTTTGTTTTAGTTTTTGTGTGGTACTTCTTGTAACATCTTAGCCTTACAGATGTCATCAGTTGTCCCTGCTTCCAGCTTCATGCTCACCCGTCCTTCATTTGTAATCAGCACAGCTGTTTTCACTCACTAATCACCCTTTCCAGTGACATGCTTCAGGGTTTTTCTCTGTTCTTTGGCTGAGCTTTTTGTTGTTTCTTGGTTTTGCCTGTTCCTGTTACTTCTTACAATCTTCATTTCTTCCAAAAAAGATTTGGAATACTGATTTTTTTTCTAACCACAGTACAAATTTCCATCCAAGATGGCCTCAAGCTTGAAAAAAAAAAGATCTAATCTTTGGACATAGTTAACATTAGGCTTCTTTATTGCCTAGTAAACTTTTAGGTGGTAACTGTGAATGTAACTCCATATTGTAGTGCTTAACAAAGGTTGCCCGGAGTATTTTATTGCCCATGTGGTTCTGTCAGCCGTTGATGAATGACAGATCTGAGAGATCTGAATTTACAGTTATCCAGTTTGTGCTTTCATCTCTGCCCCCTGTGCACAAAAATGCTTCCAGATTCCTTGAATTGTTTAATAATTTTGTGCACTGCAGAGTGTGAAATATAAAATCACCTTTCAATATGTCTTTTGAGGACCGTTGTTTTTAAAGAAGTCAATGTTTTTAAAAAAAAAAAATTGTTAAATACCTTTTGTTAATGTCTTTTTTTGTGGATATCATTTGTTGACATCACGTGTTTGAAACAAAAATTGTACTAAACACATCACTAGCACTAAATAACTCCTGTTGCAGCATTTCTTTGTAGTGGTTTGCAGACCTCAAACTTCTTCCACACTGATGACTTTGCTCTGGTCTCTTGAAGTGAAAAAGGAACTGAGCTTAAATGTGAAGCTCTTAATTTTGCAGTTCATCTACGTTCCATAAAGTTCATTAGATGTGTATCCTGGACACAAGCAGCTGAAATAAGGAGGCAGGGCTTAGCCTTGGAGATGAGATCCATCCAGGAGGAATTTGTAGTAGAGCTGCTTCTCCTTCTCATCAAAAGGGGTCAGCTGAGGTGGTTTAGGCAAATGGTTTGAATACTTTCTGGGCACTTTCCTCTGGGAAGGCAAGCCCAAAACATGCTAGAGGGGCTGGAGAGCATCCATAGAATAGAATGGACCTTTATTGTCATTGCACCTGAGTACAGCAAAATTTGGGTAGAGCTATAAAGTCTGGGTTTCCCTCCTGGACCTGCGTGATACCATTTTTTTGTATGTATATATGTATGGATGTATGCATGTATGGATGAATGGATGAATGGATGATGGTTTGCAAGCCTGACAAACAAATCTGAAAGTAAAACAAGAAATTCAAGTGATTAACTTAAAAAAAATGAACGATGGAAGGAGTCAAAATTAACAAAGTATCACTAAAATATCTAATAATATCAAATACACTGAATGACTGACAAGCTGTTTGTGTTTTGTACCAATCTGGTTATGAATAAACTTTCAAAATGTACAGTTTGTCTTTAAATTTCACTTTCAATATTGACATGACACAACTTTTCAGACTTTATATAGACCCCCGGAAAAGTAAAATTTAGTTGTACGTAAAGTTTGAGAACCTGAAAACCTTTACGTATATCCCGCAAAGTGTCAGCTTCCAAGGCGTTATGGAAAATCCAAGGTAATGTTTGGGAGTGTTTGGAGCTCACTGCAGAAGACACGAACTTCCTTTCTTTCCGATTTTTCTCATGAGGTCATCTCCCCAAGCCACAACAGAGAAGTGGACTCTGTTTGATGATGCTTCCAAGTTGGCACCCATCTGAAGCCTTTGATCAGATTTTCTCAATTGCGGCGCATCATTTTGTCGGCTGAACGCACTCTGCTGTATTCATGGCACCGTGTATCCTCTCACCACAAGCAGCAGGCCCCACAATAACTTTTCAGATGTGCTCACCAAGCGTTCATAAGCCTTCACACGTAATTACTGTTGTTCGAAGCAGCGTGGGCGCTGTGTGTCCACGAGAGCATCACTAACTTCATTATGAGATTAAAGGCGCTTTGAAAGCCGCCGCGGCCAGTCGAGGGCAGACACTCGCTCTGACCGGGACCGACACGTCTGAGCAGAATCAAAGGATGTGTTAGTGTATCTCTCTCTGTTTCACTCACTCATTTTTCTCGCTCTCATTCACCCTTTCATCCTCTCTCGTGTGTTTGTACTCGTGTTTGTTCTGAGCCGCTACTCGGATGGGTCCCATCACGAGGGGGGTACAGTATCGGAAGAGCAACAGGACATGATCCAGTTATGCCTGACTCAGAAAATCTAAGAATAAATATTTCATTAAATATATATTAAATACTTTGCCAGATCACTAACTGTTCATGTTTTTGAAAATGAGGAAATATATTAATCATAAATATATTTTTAAACAGATTCCCCTAAATTTTTTGTTTACATTTAATGTTATTGTTAGCTATTGCAGTGTCATATATGATGTCAGGTGTTGTTACAATGTTATTAATACTTTTTGTGAAACAAAAGATCACTGTGAATGTAATCAATCCCGTGTCAATGCAGACTTGTGCTGCGCTCACCAACTTGTGAAATACCGGATATGCCCTGTAAAATTTAGGAGAAATTGTAATGTTGATCATTTTAACATAGGATATTTTAATTAATAAAATAATAAATACACTAAAGTTAGGGTTTAATGTTTCGCCTTAAGGTTTTATGTAATTCTCTCTCCTTTTTGTAAAGTACCATTTTGGTTACTTCTGATTACTTTATTCCTTGCAACTAGTCTCTTATTCTGTTAGCGTACTTCCTGTTTTATTTTAGTTGGTCCAGTTTCTCTGTCCACTTGTCCCGTCAATCCTGGTTTCTGTCAGCCTCATTGCCGCTCAGCTGTTATTCATTACATCATTATCTTCAGCTTGGTTTCTTCTAGTCTTTCTTGGGTCTCTTCTCAGTCGTATTTCCTGTTGTTACTTTTCTAATCTACTTCACCCTCCTGTTTTTGTCATTTTTTTCAATAAGCTTGGTCATGGGTGGCACAGTGGCTCAGTTGGTAGAGCTGTTGCCTCTCAGCAAGAAGGTCACCAGATCGAATCCCAGCTAGGGATCTTTCTGGATGGAGTTTGCATGTTTTCTCTGTGCATGCGTAGGTTTTCTCTGGGTACTCTGGTTTCCTCCCACCATTAACATGTATGTTAGATTGATTGGTAACTCTAAATTGTCCCTAGGTGAGAGTGAGGGAGTGAATGGTTGTTTGTCTCGTTTGTCTCGATGTGTCCCTGTGATGGACTTGTGACCCACCTCTCGCACAGTGACTGCTGGATATGTGCACCAGTGACCCCCATGACCTGAAAAGAAAGAAGCGGGTAATGATATTGGATGGATAGATGGATGGATGGAAGTTTGGTCATCACCACCTGTCTTCTTGCTTTGTTTTAGTTCTTTACCCAGTCCTTCACAGAACTGTTAGAATCAGCACAGACCATTTTATTTCAGGTACTAGAACAAAATGTATGGAACACCAAAATGCTCAAAATTAAATAAATAAATATGAAATAAGAAAAAAAAATGTTTTGTTCTTTTATTTCATAATGGTGTTTTTCATGATAGCTTATTTATTTCAAAATGGTGTTTTTCATAACTGCTTATTTATTTCATAATAGCGCTTTTCATAACAGCTTATTTAGTTCATAATGCCACTTTACAGCAGAATGACTTCAGCTGTCAATCAACGTCAGTGGGTTGGACCTGCACGCCCACTGGCTCATTCTCACATCCATTAGTTTTCCTGAATACCTGCTCACTGGTACAGCTGTTAATCTTGTTAAATTCAAAGAACTAAAACAGCGAGTCCTCCGTGCACACTCCTGTGCGCGCTCCCCTGTATCTTCTGAGAACATGATCCTTTCAATTCGATCTGCTAAAGTTACCTGAGCTGAACGAAGTTCATGCAACTCTGCCATCTTTCATGACTGTTGACCTAGCAAGTTGCTGCTAGCTGCTATGCTAGCTGTACCAGTGAGCAGGAAAACTAATGGATCATGATGTGAAGGATCAGCCAGTGGGCGTGCAGGTCCAACCCACTGACGTTGATTGACAGCTGAAGTCATTCTGCTGAAAAGTGACATTATGAAATAAATAAGCCGTCATGAAAAACACAGGAACGAAATAAAAGAATAAAAAACATTTTTTTCATAATAATGAGCTTAGATACTTACTGTATTTCATAATGCTTTATTTATTTATTTAATTTTGGGCATTTTGGTGTTCCATAAAACCGGGCACAAAGAGTTAAATAAGTTACCTATAATTTATATCCATCAATAATGATGGATGTAAATTAGTCCCATTGAACTTGTTCTTTAAGGCCGGTTTTCTGTCTAAATATCATTTGAGGCAAAGCTTTGCTTTTTAGTTTCAATATTCATGATCAAATAGTAAATTTCCTTGTTATTCTGTACCTTTGTATACTTTCTACAAATTTATTTATTTGCTTTCCATATGTGTCTTTCACAGCAGGGGGTGATTGTTGCAGGGGGAGAGGAGTACCTGATTGAACCCCTTGTCTCACCAGATAACCAAACGACGATAGAGAGGGGGGAGAGAACCGAGGGGCGTCCTCATGTGGTTTACAAAAGGTCATCACTCCGTCATCAGTACAAGGGCCGGTCCTGCGGGGTCATCGGTAGGACGGATGATAATTACCTTTAACCATAACAAATCAGCAGCAGGTACATTTGTGAACAAAGACAGAAGATTTATGGCTTTAAATTGTTGGTTTTAATTTCGCAGTACATGATTTGTTGCAACAAGTGGCAAAAAAAAAAAAAACAACCCAAAAGTAGCATATTTATGCCAAAAACTAGAATAATAAAACTTTTCTTTTCGTGCGTTTCACTTCTGCCAAGTGAAGTGTGGTGAGGCATCATTCTGGTTGTTTCTCATGTCTTGGGATTTTTCTACTGTCTTTTCTTAAAACATGGATGCTTGTTATCCACCTCAGATGAGAAGCCAATGAAAAGTGCATCATGGTGGCAGCGGACACTGAAGACGCCGCCTCATCATGTGGGCCGAGGCCAGCTGCCTCTGAAGCGCTCGGTGAGCCAGGAGCGCTACGTGGAGACGATGGTGGTCGCTGACAAGATGATGGTGGGTTACCACGGCCGCAGGGACATTGAGCAATACATCTTGGCCGTCATGAATATTGTAAGTTTTACAACACAAAAGGCATGCATGAGGGAATGTGTACTTTTTTAGAGGCAAATTCAAACTTAATACCAGTTTAAAATGCATTTACTTGGTGCTTTTTGTATCTTTTAAATATTTATGCTGAATGAGCCTTATAGCGTTTTCTCATCTATATGTGCTCAACCTGTGCATCAGCCGTTTTTAAGACTGGTCTTTTCTTGTTTCCCTGGAGGTCAGGTTGCCAAACTGTTCCAGGATTCTAGCCTGGGGAATGCAGTCAACATCGTGGTGACACGACTCATCCTGCTCATGGAAGACCAGGTTGGTAACTTTTTAAAAATTGCTTCACTATTCATCATGGATTTTTCTTTTTCTTTTTTTTCTCCTGTGGCTCCAGTGAGATTCTGAGTAGCACAAACAAGTTTATTTCTAATAAATGGTTGGTTTAAGTGTTGGTTCCTGCACCACACCCGGCGGACTCTGTGTGGCTCTTATGAGCAGTTGCTGTAATGACAGAAATGAGAGGATGTAATGAGGCCAGAGAGAGAGAGATGATTGAACGGAGGAGGAAAAGTCCAGGTATGAGGGGAGTTTTGTACCTGTCGTACAGAGCTGCTTTGTGGCCGTTCTTCTCGTTGCTGTGGTGAACAGGGATGTCTGTGACGCATGCCCAGGGTGTAGAAAACCTGTTAGATTTAAACAGTTCTGTAAAACTCCACTGTATATTACCTTCCAAATTGATTTATATACAGTAAGCTTGTGTGTTGCATGGAAAGCAATCGTCTGGTTTAAAGGTCAACTAAAATCAGTCAACATATTTTAACACATTTTGTGACGTGGATCTATTCTGACCCACAATATAACACTGACCCCAGCTGGTTTAAGTTTACAAAATGCTAATAGAACAGTCGAACAAGGTCAGAATGAAAACGTGAACAATTTAAGCAACCGTTACAATAATTTTATGCATTCATAACCACTGATTTATATTTTTAATAAGAAGTGTTAGAAACAAAAAAGCTATTAGTCTTAACCTGAGCTCACCAGCAAGTGCCCAGTGGTCAAGCTTTGGGTCCTGGAGTTTGGCTGGGCCAAACCGAATATAAAATAACAGGAAGCCACTTCCTGTAGACCCACCCCCTGTGGAGAGTCGTCCAGGTCGGTGCAATGCAAGCCATTCAGCAGGCGAGGGCTGGGCCCAGGCTGTTCTGATTCCTGGTGACATCATCTGGCTCTAAGGATGAATGTCACCAAACTGACATCAGAACATCTTGTGTATATATTTGTATACTGCAGAATGTGGTAATTGGTTTACACAGTCATGTTCCCAGTTCAATTTCTCTGAGCGTTATACTGTGTTTATCTCTTCTGAAACTACAAATGGGAAAAGAAAATGGCTCGTGGCAAACTTTGGTAAAATGCATCTTTTCACTTTTGAGATTAATGTTCTTATGCAAAGCACCTGACAAAGAAATAAATATTGCATCTGGGACTACAAACAATGATGTCAGTATCTGAATTGTTTATTTTATAATTATAATTTTTCAAAAGCTGTATATTCTTCATGTTACACTATGCTGAAGTTGCTGAATGTTACTAGAACCGCCTTCTTCCACTTGCGTAATATCACTAAAATTAGAAACATCTTATCTAAAAATGATGCCGAAAAACGGGTTCATGCAGTTGTCACGTCTAGAAACTACACTGGACTATTGCAATGGTTTATCTGTTTGTCCAAATACTTCTTTAAACATCTTCAGTTGATCCAAAATGCTGCTGCCAGAGTCTTAACTGGAGTTAGTGGGAGAGATCGTATCTCTCCAGTTTTAGCTTCTCTCCATTGGCTCCCTGTCAAATCCAGAACTGAATTCAAAATCCTACTTCTAACCTACAAAGCTCTCAACAACCTGGCTCCATCTTATATTACAGATCTTACTGTTCCATATTTTCTTAACAGAGCACTTTGCTCTCAGACTGCAGGTTTACTTGTGGTTCCTAGAGTTTCCAAAAGCAGAATGGGAGGAAGATCTTTCAGTTATCAGGCTCCTCTCTTGTGGAACCAAATTCCAGTTTGTGTCTGTGAGGCTGACACATTGTCCAGTTTTAAGACTGGGATTAAGACTTTCCTATTTGATAAATCCTATAGTTAGGGTTGGCTTGTTATTCTGCTATAGGCTTAGACTACTAGAGGACAAACTGACCTCATTCAGGTCTTTCTTGTAAATGAGTCCTCGATGCTCAATGGGATTAACCTGTCAAAATAAAGGTTGAATTAACAAATAAACAAATTGTTACAATGGAATAGTTTTCATTTGATACTATTTCTATCTTAACATGTGATTCTTTACCTACCATTGTGTATTTTTCTACTAAACCCAGCCGGTCAGAGCAGATAGCCGCTTGTCCTGAGTCTGGTTCTGCTAAAGGTTTCTTCCTCATGAGGGAGTTTTTACTTTCCACTGTCGCCTTCATGCTTGCTCAAGATGAGAGTTCTGTGATGGAGTTAAGTTCAAAGCAGGCTGTTCCTCAGATAAATAATGTTAACACACACACTATATATATATATATATATATATATATATATATATATATATATATATATATATATATATATATTGAATGTTTCTGTTCAGTGCCCTGAGATGACTTCTGTTGTGACTTGGCGCTATATAAATAAACTGAATTGAAATTTAATTGAATTGAATTATCATGCTAAAAACAGCCTCACAGACTCAGTTGCATGGCTGCAGACTTTTTTGTGATGTAAGAGAATGACTGGAGAATATGACAGAGCAAGAGTCCCCATCTGACCACAAGGCATGAGTTCAGCTCATAAAAAAGTCCATGACCTTAGCAGCTTGGCTCAGGGAATGACTGAAACACTTGACTACCTGGTAAATGACCTCATGAATTTGCCGAGATGGTGCAGCCTGTTCCGTCAATTATTACAGTGCGGCTTTGAGGTTTCCTCTTTAGTTGTCTTGTTAAGGAACATTTATGATTCATGCTGCCTTAAAATAATCCTCAAAGTTTGCCGCCCGGATGTGTTTGTTATCTGAACGAGTAAAGAAGTAAATGTTAGTTTCATTAGTGGTGGGCCAGCATTAGTGTTGTTATTCTTATGCTATGAACCTCCGAGGCAGAGCAGTTTCTGCTAGCGGTTTTGTTTCTGGTTTCCAAGTACAAAAAGCAAGTTGTCCCTGGAAAGGAAAAGCGAGGCCAGCAGTGGGCCCAGGGAAGAGGGACTGTGGGATGAGACAATTACCAGTTATGTCACCACATGCATTCCTGGGTTACGAGTTCTCGCCAGCTGTGGCCAGCAAAGCACTGCTTCTGCTCCTCCTCTACGCAGCCTCATAATGCAGTGAAGCTGCAGAGATTTATTGGATAGAAGTAACAAACTAGTGAAAAATTAACACTTGATGGTTTCTGTTATCAAAGCATTATTCAGCTAACATGGGATTGTTGGAATATCTGAAAATGTAAAGAGATGCACCATGTTTTGCTTGTGAAGAAATGCTTAAATGCATACCTTTAATCTCCAGGCATGTCTTTAAATCTGCATTCATCTTTTTTTTCCTCCATCAGCCAACGTTGGAGATCAACCACCATGCAGGGAAGTCTCTAGACAGCTTCTGTAAGTGGCAGAAAACCATCCAGCACCGCAGCAGCTACGGGAACGCCATACCAGACAATGGCATTGCTCACCATGACACTGCTGTGCTTATTACTAGGTAAAGCAAAAATAAATAAATAGCTTTATTTCTTATAAAGATTAAACATTGTTTGGTGCGCTGAAACAAAACCCTCTGCAGTTTCTTCTAAAAATAATGTTTTTTCTGCTTAGAAAAAGCTAAAACAGCATTTCCTCTAAGCTGATTTCTTACATTCCCAGCCCCTTTCGTCATGGGTTGTCTCCGAGCCAAGTTCAGCAGAGCTGGGCTGTATCTTGTCCTGTTTTAGGTGCTTATAGACGAGGACTTTACACACACTGCAGAACCTGGTGGGAGCATGCAAAAGACAGACATGAGGGTACGAAATACAGTGACAGATCTATTCCCTTGAAAAGATTTCTAGATTATATGGAAATGAACAATTTGAAGAAAGTTGACTTGGATCTGAATGCACTGTTGATGTCAGTGTCACATTTTTCTTCATCTATTTTTTTATTAACTCTAATACCTCAGTTACAAATGCGTTTTGGGGTAAAACAGAAAACAACACCGCAGTGAGGTCAGAGTCTTCTGAGTGCAGTGAAGCTGAGCATAGCTGCTACAGTTATAGTTCACAAGTTGCAAGAGGTTTACTCCACTACAGAACACAGAACATAACACCAAAGTCCATGCTCAATAGTCCAGGTATAAAATCCAACATTCAGTCAGGTCATCTGGACGGTTTCTTTTTTTGTGCTGAGACGTTTCGCCCTCCATCCGTAAGGCTTCATCAGTCTGAGGAAACACCAGACAAAATGGATTCTCCCCCAACAGCTTACTCCAAAGCTGTTTAACTGTTTTTTCCACTTTGGAGTAGGCTGTTGGGGGAGAATCAGTTTTGTTTTCTGGATGGAGGGCAAAATGTCTCAGCGCTAAAAAAGAAAGTTCAGATGACCTGACTGAACATTGCTGGATTTTATGCCTGGATTATTGAGCATGGACTTTGGTGTTTTGAACCAGTTTGACATGACTGTCGACGAGGTAGAGGGCGTGCCCCAGAGACCATCTTAGCACCAACATAACTGTTTTTTTCCCACTTTGGAGTAAGCTGTAGGTGGAGAATCAGTTTTGTTTGATGATTCCTCAGACTGATGAAGCCTTCTGGATGGAGGGCGAAACGTCTCAGCACAACAAAAAAAAAGAAAAAAAGAAACCGTCCAGATGACTTGCAAACATAACCTTGTTTTACAACCATATTTGTAAAGAAAAAGATGTACCATATTTTCCGGCGTATAAGTTGCTCTGGAGAATAAGTCGCATCAGTCAAAAAAAAAAACATCATGAAGAGGAAAAAAAACAAACGAGTAGCTTTGGTGTATAAGTCACATTTATTATGCGTCACCGCTGACCCGTTGTGTTTGTTATGCGTTTATTTAATGGTCAAAACAGCTTCATTTTGCTTGGACGGTGCAGCACCATCCATCTATCCATCCATTGCGGCTGGAGCCACTAGCTCTCCAGCGCTCCTCCGCATTACAGTAATGCCCAATTATTGTTCCTTTTCCACAGGTATGACATCTGCATTCAAAAAAACAAGCCCTGCGAAACTTTAGGTAATATTTACTCACACAAATGTACAACTGAAGTTTACCAATTATTAAATAAGACAACATGCATCAAGGCTGCACCTATTATTCGAACTGGTCTTCAAAGAGATAGAAATAATTTATGACTGTAACAAACAGGAGAATGTGTTGAAATTTATTAACCATAAACCCATCAGCTTGATTTGAGTAAAATTTCAGTGTGGGGTTTGTCGGTGAAGATTCAGTCCAGGTGTTTTTCTGCGTGCAGAAAAGCACATTCTTTATATTTCTTTTGAATATTCGCCTGTTTGTCAGGTCTGGCTCCAGTCGGCGGGATGTGTGAACCAGAGCGGAGCTGCAGCATCAACGAGGACATCGGACTGGGAACAGCCTTCACAGTCGCCCATGAAATCGGACATACGTAAGCAACACTCCAGAAAAACATCTTCACCTCTGAAGCATCTTGAACGTCAAAATAGACAACTTTATTTGCAGTGATACGTCACAAGTGGTTGTGAATCTGTTTCGTTACACACATCAAATACATGAGCATACTGGGGCTTTAGTGTCTTGACTTTAAATTATATGAAGTTGAGAGACTGAAGTCTAAGCTCAGATCTTCCCATAGGAGGATGGACGCCATTTTTCCTGAGCTACATTAATCCCAGTTCTTTTCTCAAACAAGAAAGTCAAGGATGCATTAGTTAAATAATTCCCAAACCTTTTATATATCAACAGCAAAGACATGTGTCTCTGACTTTTGCTGGTTGAAGCATACAAATAAGACTTAAATGACAACATTAAAAACCTAAATAACTTATATAATTGTTATTCATTGATGGGTACGGTTTTCCCTTTTTATCACTTATGGTAAAGACCTTTATTTCCATCTTGAGGATTTCTGGGTAATTTTTGAATTAGAACCGGCGTGGGCATAAATAATCTTCAGACTACTCCTTTTTTGTTTTGTTTTACATTGCTAATGTAACTGTTATTGTTAATTGAATATGTAATCAAAACAAAATCATTCTTTCGTTGAAAGTTTAATTCTACTTGCTCAGTATTTCTGTGTCCCTTTCACTTGTGTTTGCAAACCGCATTAACAAGTACTTATGGTGGCAGATGGTGGAGCCATCAGCTTTTCTGATGTTTTAAACAGACGATCAAACACTCATTCAGACTCTATACTATTTACAGTAACAGAAACCAGACAGTATTCAATAATATAGTAAATGTATGCACAATTCTGTTGCTCCAATACAATCCCCAGTTATCCTGATGTATGCTCAATAATCCAGGTAGACAAATCTAAAAAAAAGTTAAGTCTGGTCCTTTGGACATTCAAAAAAACAAAACAAAAACTAAAAAATTATAGAAACGTCCAGAGGACCAGACTTAACTTTTTTAGACAATCCCCAGTTGTTTTTAATTATGAAATAACTTGCTCTGACATTACAGTACTGTGTTGGATTGAGTGGCTGTTTGCGGTGAAGAGTATACGATAAGTGAAAAACACACCAACAGGATGAAACTGCAGAGAATAAAGATTTCAGAACTTTTGTATATTTTCGAGCTTAAACAGTTTTAGTGAGTTTTTGCTGTTTGTTCAGGGAGAAAAATGAAACAGAAGAGCAGGAAGTAATTGTAGTCAAAAGGGACATCGGGATTCCCCACACAAGAGTGGAAGGTTTTCAATTAAATATTTTACACTACAAAGAGGCTGGAAATTAAACACTTGACCCTGTAATTGGAAAACTACCTCCCTTCTAATGGGTCCGAGCTATACCCTTAAAAATATTTTTATAGTACTTTTGGGCTGACATAACATAGCTTATCAGTTGTGCAGGTTGGGATGCGAGAGGATGGATGGTGTCATCACAGTTGTTGTTGTTCCTCTTTATGCCATTACATCTCAAGGTCATCATTCTGCACCCAGCTTTTTAAATTTAATCTGTGTCAGATTAAATTTAACCAATCAGAGGTTACCTACACACTGTCTCACATTAGATGCACGCATACACACACTCGTAAATTGGTGTATCATCTGCAAAACAAGGAATCAAAGGTTTTATTTGCAAAAGCCAAAAGATGCAAATTCAGCAAGAACAATTTTGGTCCCAGGATGTATCCTTGAGGATCTTTACTTTTGTGAAGTTGAAAAAGACGAGACATTTCCCATTTTTACTTTAAAAGATGTATGCTGAATAGTATATGAAGTACTGAAGGATATTACCATGGATCCAAACCTGACGGGATTCAGAAGAATCCTGCAATCAACCCCATCAAAAGCTGTGCAGAGGTCCAAACGTTTCAAAACGACAGTTATCTTTATCCAAGAACAAAAAACAAGTCATTTGAAAAAGCAGCACTGTACATAAGCATTTATTTCTTGAAAATTTAAAAGAAACTACAGCGTGGGAATTGACCTGTAATTATCTAGATCAGGATAATCAAGATACTTTTTTAAATAGGTAATTTGTTTTAAAAGTCCAAATGGTTTTCAAAACTCACTTTTTTCAGAGTTGTTTTTCAGACATCTTCAGATAAGTGAAGGACTTGAGGTATTATGTTTTTAAAAGCCATCACAAGTCCAGTCCAGTAAAGGACAAACAGCAGGTTAGATTCCCTGTTGTACTCAGATGATTTTATTAAAGCATCTGATTTAAATTCTTTGACCCAAGGTCAAACGTGTAGGTGAACACATCTGGGACTGGGGACTGTAATAATTCATGCGCCTGTTGTTTCGATTCCCTTTAGTTATCCGCAGTGACCTTTTTTCCACTGTCCCCATTGCTGCTGCTGGGTAATAATACCCACCCACATGGCCTCAAAGTGTTGTCACTGTATCATCTTGGGCTTTAGGTTTGGGATGAACCATGACGGCATGGGGAACGCTTGTGGATCTCGCAGCCAGGAGACTGCCAAGCTGATGGCTGATCACATCACCATGAAGACAAACCCATTCATTTGGTCCGCCTGCAGCCGGGATTACATCACCAGTTTCCTGGAGTGAGTCAGGCACTCAGATATCTGCAATGCCACAAATAAATTGATAATTGCAGATTTTAGAGAAAAACATTCTTTAAGACAATTTTTTATGGTCAGAGAAAACATCTGTGTTTAATCAGCTTTAATCTGTTCAGTGTTTCAACAAGACATGCTGTATTCATAGGAGAAAAAAGTGAAACATGAGCAGTTTTTGGACTTATTTGCATGTTTCCTCCTCTGATGTGTTTTAGCTCGGGTATGGGTTCTTGTCTGAACAACGTACCACCAAAGCAGGAGTTTGTGTATCCAACAACGGCGCCAGGTCAGACCTACGATGCGGACGAGCAATGTCGCTTCCAATACGGCATCAGATCTCGGCAGTGTAAATATGCGGTGAGCTCACAAATGTAATCCAACTTTATCCATCTTTTAGTATCGTTTCATATAATTGGTGAATACAACCTTCCTTCCACTGCAAACATTACCGAGCAGGCATGTAAAACAAAAGTTGCTTCCATAATATTCTACAAGGGTTATGGGTATGTTAACAATAAATATCCATCTATCCGTTATCTTTACCCGCTCCTTCTTCATGGAGTTTACTGGACTGTACTTATAGAACGCCTTTCTATCTTATCAAGACACTCAAAGCTCTTTACAAAACAATCTGCACCCTCATTTACCCATTCATGCAGCACTCTACTATATCTATACAAAGACTAATCAGTGCTTTATCACATTCATACACTGATGGGACACACATCGGAGGCAATGAGGCGTTCAGTGTCTTGCCCAGGGATGCTTCGGCATGCGACTGCTGGTGGATTCAAACCCTCAACTCTTGCATTGGATGGTGACTGCTCTAACCACTCAGTCACAGCTGCCCGGGGTCACTGGTGCTATCCAGCAGTCACTGTGTGAGAGACGGGGTACACCCTGGTTGCACATCAATCAGTACCACATAGAGACAAACAAGAACAACAACCATTCACTCTCTCCCTCACACTTTGTGGCAATTTAGAGTTACCAATCAGCCTAACATGGATGTTTTTGGTCTGTGGGAGGAAACCGGAGTACCCGGAGAAAACCCACACATGCACCGAGAGAACATGCAAACTCCACCCAGAAAGGTTCCTGACCAGGATTCCATTCGATGATCTTCTCGCTGAAAGGCAACAGCTCTACCAACTGATCCACCGTGTCACTCAACACTGAACAATAGTACATTTGTGCCCGTTTGATCATTTATTTATACATTAAAAGTTACATTTTTGCACTAGGTTGTAACTATTGGCGACTCAAAATTGCGAGAAAATGTGTAAATATTCTGGTGCAGTCTTCCCAAATTCTGAGTGATTTCAACCATTGGGCCATGCAGCTTTTCATGGCTTATTTTTATGCAAACCATATTCTAGGCCATGTTCATCATTTCATTACTCACCTCTGCCCACATCATACCCGACTTTGTCTGCTTTGTACCCACCTCTGTGTCAAAGATGACCTCGGATCCAAATCCAAATATCATGGCAGTAAATATTTTTTGTAATCCAAAGCTATTTCATTTTTTTTTCGCAGTAATTATCAATTTGTCCACTCAAACTAACAATCATTGATCCAACTGCTGAATCTTTCATCCAAAATCTTCTGGCTTTCTCCTTTAAATATGTGATCCAGCACATTTTGCTATACTTTCACATAATAGCATCCCCTTTAGTTCATGGTCAAGTTTTACAAGGCAGCTTGAGAGTGATCGGACATCTGGAACAGCGAGCAGCTTTATAGACTCATTATCCATATTATATAGTCAGCATATGCACACAATAAAACATGACCCCATGTGTTGAAGGCATCTCTGTAAACGAAGAGATGAAGGTGAACAAGGGTTTCAGTTCTTGTGCCTTTGTACTGATCATAAATAAAAACAGCAACACGTCTCCTTCCTCTAAGTTTGTTGTGAAGGATTTCGTTCTTGCTAACACGCAGGAAGTCTGCAGCGAGCTTTGGTGCATGAGCAAGAGCAACCGCTGCATCACCACCAGCATCCCCGCTGCAGAGGGAACCATCTGTCAGACCAACACCATAGAGAAAGGGGTGAGTACTGATAGTTGAAGGTTAAAGCTAAAACAATATGTAGTTTGAATGATCATCTGAAACTAAATGTTATTCAAATAGAATTTAAACAACTTTTAAGTTTTGTGTAATAAAAGTACATTATTAAACATTTACCAGAAACATGCATCCTGAAGAATCATATTTGCACTGTATTTTATTATTCTTTGCTCTATTTTTATTTCAGAACTATAATTTACTGTATATTATCATTTCTAAGTGTTGTCATAGTGGTTGAATTAATTCATTCATTCAACTTTTATTTAAACAGATAATCACATTGAGCCTCTAAGACTCATTTAGAAGGGAGATCTGTTTAGACGGACAAAAAAGTAACGAAAGTGACACATGTATAGGATTTGGAGGCAAATAAAAGAAAATAGAAATAATCCTATCAAACTCTCACTCCTTGGCCGAGGAGAGAAAGCCTGAGATTGAAAAAAACATCCCGCACATAGTGACGTAGACATTCCGCAGGGGAGAGGAGACGACAGGAGCGGTGATCGTGTCAAGGACACTCCTGAGGCACTGTAAGAGTTTTGATAAGAATGATATAGTCAGTCAGTTCCCTCTGGTGAGATCCGTAAACTTTCTCGTACCGAGGTCGACCTGAAACGGCGCCAGAGAGAATTCGAAGTCCTGAAATGATGACAAAGTTTATTCAGCCGGGTCCCTCCGATAGGTCCGCAGATTTCTTGGGTGGGAAATTCCATTCTGTGTTCGTCTGCTCCTCCTTCTTGTCCTCCCAAACCAGCTGGTCAAAGCAGATGACCGTTTGTCCTGAGCCTGGTTCTGCTGGAGGTTTCTTCCTTTAAAAAAGGGGAGTTTTTCCTTTCCACTGTTGCCACTGTGCTTGCTCAGGATGGGAGACTGCAACGAAGCCAAGATTCAACTAGTCTGCTGGATTCCTTAGATATATAACTTTACTAATTGGCTTTTATGCATGTGAATGTTTCTGTAAAGTGCCCTGAGACAACTTTGTTGTGATTTGGTGCTATATAAATAAACTGAATTGAATTGAATTGACAAGAACAAGTGTGTGAATATGTCTGAGTATGAACTGTACTTGTGATGTTGATACTTTTTATGCCTGTGTGTGGTGCAGTGGTGCTTTAAGAGGATGTGCGTTGCTTACGGCACTCGTCCGGAGGGTGTGGATGGAGGTTGGGGTCTGTGGTCACCGTGGGGGGAGTGCAGCAGGACTTGTGGAGGAGGGGTCTCCTCTTCAGTCAGACACTGTGACAGCCCCAGGTACAGATCATCTGAAATAAAGACAAGACTTTTATTCCACATCTCCATTAACCGTAATACTAAAATTGCTTCAGAATATCAAACCAGCTGTACATGTGAAACTAGTGGTGCATGCATTCATACTGAACCATCATGGTGAACACTTTTGACATGAATACATAAAACCACAAAAATGTTTGTCACAGAAGATCGTGGTTCCTGTGCAGAAACAGACGTGTTATATTTAGCATTTTAACAGCCACGACAGAAAAAAAGCAATAGAAGAAACTAAAGTGCTCTACAGCAAACAAAGCAGCAATTGTTTTGGTTCAGATTAGCACATAGCAACTTAAAGACCTGCATATTTGTTTCAAGTCAGCTCTGAGGAAAAGTTTCCTGGTCATAATTTGAAGCAACAGAGTCACGTGGTGCATATATGGCAAGCAGTTAAATTATATATTACTTGCTTTGAAACTTCGCAAGGCATTTCATTTTATCCATCCATCCATTCTCTTCCGCTTATCTGGGGTCGGGGCGCGGGGGTAGCAGCCTAAGTAGGGAGGCTCAGACTTCCCTCTCCCCAGCCACTTGGGCCAGTTTCTCCAGGGGAATCCCAAGGCGTTCCCAGCCAGCTGAGAAGCATAATCCCTCCAGCGTGTACTGGGTCTTCCTCTGGGTCTCCTCCCAGTGGGATGTGCCCAGAACACCTCACCACTGGCTCCTCTCGACGTGGAGAAGCAGCAGCTCTACTCCGAGTCCCTCCCGGATGACCGGGCTTCTCACCCTAACGCTAAGGGAGAGCCCAGACGCCCTGCGGAGAAAACTCATTTCAGCCGCTTGTATCCCAGATCTTGTTCTTTCGGTCACAACCCAAAGCTCGTGACCATAGATGAGGGTAGAAACGTAGATCGACCAGTAAATTGAGAGCTTCGCCTTTTGACTCAGCTCTCTCTTCACCACGACAGACCGGTACAGCGCCCGCTTCACTGCCGATGCTGCACCTGTCTGCCTATCGAGCTCACGCTCCATTTTTCCTCATTCATGAACAAGACCCCGAGATACTTCAACTCCTCCACTTGGGGCAGGACCTCCTCCCCGACCCGGAGAGGGCACTCTACCCTTTTCCGGCTCAAGACCTTGGCCTCGGATTTGGAGGAACTGATCCTCATCCCAGCTGCGTCACACTAGGCTGCAAACCGCTCCAGCGAAAGCTGTAGATCACGACCTGATGAAGCCAATAGGACCACATCATCCACAAAAAACAGAGAAGCGATCCTAAGGTCACCAAAACGGATCCCCTCAACATCTTGGCTGCACCTAGAAATTCTGTCCATAAAAGTTATTAACAGAATCGGTGACAAAGGGCAACCTTGGCGGAGTCCAACTCTCACTGGGAATGAGCCTGACTTACTTCCGGCAATGCAGACCAAGCTCTGACACCGGTCATACAGGGACCTAACAGCCTGTATCAAAGGGCCTGGTACCCCATACTCCCAGAGTACCCCCCACAGGGCTCCCCGAGGGACGTGGTCGAACGCCTTCTCCAAGTCCACAAAGCACATGCAGACCAGTTGGGCAAACTTCCTCACACCCTCCAGGACCCTGCTGACAGTGTAGAGCTGGTCCAGTGTTCCACGACCAGGACGAAAACCGTACTGCTCCTCCTGAATCCGCAGTTCGACTATCATTTTATTTATTATTTATTTTCACGTTGAAAGATGTGCTGTATATTCTTTTTACTTTACATTAGGCCCAGGCCAAATTATCTGAAGCAAAAAATAGTCATTGCAAAAATAGTGCTTAGTTTTATTTGCTTTATGTAATTTTTTAGCCCAATAGATAGAAAATTTGTCACATGTACTGAACCGTGGCTTGATTGTATGATGCACTGTAAGAACATCCTGGATGAGCTTCTCAGCTGTAGGTTTATACTAAATACATGACTTTAATATTAAACTGCTTTAATAGCAACATCCATTTGCTGTAAAGAAGATGAGTTTTTGCAAACAGGACTTCTCCCCAAAATAAAAAGGACCTTGAATATGCAGGTTAAAATGAGAGAAAAGTGTGAACAATCTTATTAAATTCTGCTTTGTTTTTGTCTCTTGGGCTTGAAAACTGTTGGAAAAAAACTCTTCTTCAAACTCCATCCAGAACAAAAAAGTGGCATTATGTAAATGAATGGTGGTGGAGTCTGAAAATCATTGCAGAGCAGCTAATCTTTAGCCTCGATGTCAGCAGATGCCTCATCTTGAACCACTTATGAGAAAATGGACTGACCCAAATCTGAGGCCAACAGTTTTCCCATATTTCATTTCAGAGCATTATTATTTTATTTTTTTTTAACGTTTTGCTTTGGTTTGAATCTGATGAAATTAGCTGAATGTTTTGCAGAAGGTAGCTGTTTAACTGAAGCTGCTTTTTAATTTTTAATTTTAAATAAATTTAGTGATGCTCTGTTAGTCCATTCTGATGGAGAGGCTTGAAATTCCTCCATAAAGTTAAAGTCAGAAGTAATTTTATGGTGATGTGATGGGGTCAAACTAAACTCGTATGTTTCCGACTGACTGGTCCAACTGTGTCCCTGCAGGCCAACCATTGGTGGAAAATATTGTCTGGGGGAAAGGAAGCGATTCAGGTCCTGCAATATTGACGTGAGTTCTGCTTCTTGTAATCCTCACTATTATCAGTTCACCTGTGCCAATCGGTCAAAACATTAAAAATGAAATGTGTTCAAAGGAGTGCGCTGCTGGCTCCCGGGACTTCCGAGAGATTCAGTGCTCCGACTTTGATAACATTCCCTTCCGGGGAAAGTTTTACACCTGGAAACCTTACAGAGGAGGTGAGTGAGAAACACTGATGTGGGCTTATTATTAATAATCTGAGGTTTGCTGTCTGTCAGACATCTTAAATTGGTGTGATTACATTTTGAGATTTTAATTCAAATCTGCACTGCTTCACAAATTATTTTGTTAAAGGAACAAACACAGACACGGGCAAGACATTCACCTTCACTGGCGAGTGATAACAGATGACCACTGTCGTGCGTGTTTTCGTGTCTGCTCTTGTTTTGATTAAGTCATAACTCGTGTCTTGGTATGATAATCCTTTATTAGAATCAAATAACTTTTCTTCCTGGTTTGGATCAGCACTGAGGTGTTTATTAAAGTCAGATTTAGGCTACACCCAACAAATCAAACTGGATTGGACTCTTGTTTTAAAAGAATCGAGCCTGTATACTGTATTTTTCAAACTATAAGGCACACTTAAAATCCTTTAATTTTCTCAAAAATCGACAGTGAGCCTTATCTATTAATTCTAGATGTGCTTACTGACTTCGAATAGACTTTATGTAGTTCACGGCGCTCAAAAATGTGTATTGTTTTGCATTTTATGTGTTACAACTGAACAATGTAGAGAATTATTGTGAATGACTTGAATAAAGTTTGACTTATCTGACCGTTTTGTTTTGCTTAATGCACCTTACAATCCGGTGCACGTTATAGTTTGAAAAATACGTTTTTTTTGTTAGAGATTATTTATATTTTTAAAATAAACAGATTTATAATCTGATTAAACGTGAAGTCGTGCCTCGCTCGTGTGTTTAAAGACTGAGCTGAAGCTGCAGACTCTCCTTCCAGTCTGGCCTGCAGATGCTGGCTGCAGACTGCGCACACGTCCCAGAATTCCTTGCAGGAATGCCTTGTTCCCGATGAGCACTTGAGGCCTGAAACTGGACTTGAAAATATAAAAAGTTTTAGCAACATTGCGTTTAATCAGGTGGTGCTGCAGAAACATAATGACTTTCAGAGAAGTTTAGATGTTTGAATCCCACTACAGGCAACAAGTGTTCTTTTCATCAGTCAGCTGATATTCCAACAGAAATCCCTCGCAGCTGTTTAAAATGGGAAAAGTGCCAAAATCTTTCCATGCCGAAGGCCAAAAACAGCCCAGCCTCCAACCCTTTTGGCACAGTCCTCAGATCTTCAGTTTAACTTTCACCTTTTCACTTTGACCCTCGTGTTTAGTGGAGACTGCTTCCTTTTATATCATTCCTCTCTCCTTCTTTTCTCACTTTTAACATTTTACCATCCCCGCTTTTTTTTTTGTATCACCATTATGCAACAGCTTCTACTCGTTTCAGTTCAGACATGGAAAACAACCTTTTTTCTCTCGGCTCTGGCAGCCAAATTAAGTAAAAAAAATAAAAAAAAATCTCTTGCACCTTTTTTTTTTCTTCCTCAAACATTCTGCTCCATGTTCAGTCCAGCAGCCTTCAACCTTCACAGTCCAGACAGAACACACCTGAGAGCTACATTTGGAAACTCGGCACCATGGGAATTGTAGTTTTCCATAGTATGACCAGTTTAAGTTCAACCGGTGCATTCTCACTTCTCCTCCCAGCACAAACTGTACTTTCTTCAGAGCTGCTAAGCAAACAAATATTGTTGTCAAAAGTCCTTCAGGTAGGAAGGTTTGGGTCAGCTTCAAATATAAATTAAAACGTTTTGCAATGTTTCACACTTTAATATGTGTACCTGCACAAACCTAAGGATTTTTCAATCTCCTACAGTCTAATTTAGGTGGTTTTGTGCAATTTGTAGCCTCGGTTTCCTGTTTTTAGCTGACAGGAGGGGCACCGAGTGTGGTCTTCTGTTGCTGGAGTCCATCACTTTCAAGGTTGGATGTGTTGTGAGGTCAGAGATGGTTCTGCAGCCCTTTGTTGTAACCAGTCTGCCCATTCTCCTCTGATCAACAAGGCATCCTTGTCAACACAGCTGCCAGTCACAGGATAGTTTCTCCTCTTTTGGACCATTCTCTGTAAACTCGAGAGGGTTGTGCATGAAAAGAACCACATCATGTATAAAGTCACGCTAACCCCCTTGTTGTCCTGTTCCGATCCTCAGATGAGCTTCAGCAAGCCGTCTTCATTACGTCTAGATGTGTAAATGCATTGAGCTGCTGCCATGTGATTGGCTGATTAGCTATTTAAACGGTCAACCTGCCAAGTTGGTGGTTTGAGCCTGGCTTCCCCTGAAACATGCCGAAGTATCCTTGGACACTGAACCTCAGGTTGCTCCAGTCTACAGATCAGTGTGTGAGAACTGAGTGGTCAGTGAGCGTTTTGCAAATACCATTTATACTTTGATTTGCTGATTAGCTATTTGTCACAACAAGTCACTGGACACTTGTTCCTAATAAAGCGTCCTGTTAGTGTTTATGTATACACTAGTGCCTCGCTACTTTGCAGTTCGTTTATCGCGGACTCGCTCTATTGTGGTTTTTCAAAATAAGATTGGACATGACACACAACTGGTTGATGGATGGATGGATGAGCCGCACGACCGGCATGGCATTTTTATTTAAAATGAATTATTTTAAAGTATTTAGTGCCTGCTGCACCTTTGTGCAGCCCATACTGCAGGATAAACTTCCTGCTGCAGCTGATCAGCTGTTCTGCATGCAGAGCTGAGAAGTGGGCGTGGCCAAGAGTGCTTGCAGGTGGCTGAGAGCAGCGGAGGCAGAGAGCTGAAATCATGACATGCTGTGCTCTTTTAGAGCATTTAGAGTTTAGAAACACTGTTTAGAATATTGCAAGAGTGTGGGAAGGGTTTAAAACACCTTTATAGAGATAGCGATAGATAGATATACTAAAATAAAACTATTACTTACTACTTTTACTACTATTCCTATTTTGTGGTTTTCCACTTATCCCTGGTCTTCAGGGTACAGATCCCCAGCGATAAACGAGGGACTAATTATATATATATAT